CTCTCTCTCTCTCTCTCTCTCGGCCATGTTGCACACACAGAACAGCAGCGGGTACAACCATGGCGGACGGATAATGGCCATGCAGTGGAATGCACACACAAGGGCGGCGGGTACAACCATGACGGGCGGCCAATTTCCAAGGGGGAACTCCCTGAGGTGAGGTTGGAGCCTTCCAATTTCGAAAGTCGCCAATTTCGAACTTGGGAGGCTGTTTCCTGAAATATTTTTCTCGTCATTCGCGCCAGGGAAAAGAAATTGTGCCTAAGAAAAAAACAGCTCCGCCGGTCTGTATATTTCCAGGGAAGAGGGGGGGGAAGGTGGATATTACGTACGGTTACCCGACAGAATTGCTTACCCGCCCATACCCATCTGATTTTTTTTTTCACCACCCTATAACGGTTGTACCCATGCTTTTTTTTTCTTGGCTGCCCATACCTGCGGTTTTTCCCTTTTCACCGCCAATACCCGCACATGGCTGCCCGTGATCTCCACGCAGTGCAACTATGCCTGCCCTGAAATCCACAAATAAAATTTATGTCTGCCCATACCGATGGCCCCCTCCGGAACGGTACCCGTACCTGCCCATAACCTGCCGGTTACAGTTGGGTACGGTCGGGTACGGGCAACGGTTACCCAGTTGCCACCTTTGGTCCATACCTAGGACTATATCGAAAGGAAGGTCATCCTGTACGAGGAGAGTCAGGGAGTGGAGAACTTTCTCCACCTTCCCATCTTTCTATAGGCGGAAGTAGGCCTGGACTCCCTCTACGTAGTCCTCAACATGCATAGTGTGGTTGTCTGCGAGGACACTAACTATGGAGTCTTCTAACTTTTGGACTTTCAATCCTAGCCTCAACTTCTTCAGCGCTCTATGGCTAATATAACTGCGGGTAGCCCCTGAGTCTATAAGGGCCCCAACTCTACTTCTAAAAACTTCTAGATCAACTAACACTAGCTGCCCTTTACTATCTTTCTTCATCTTGGCCCAAGCTGGCATCCTCTCCTTCAATTCTTCTACCACGCCTGTGAGGGAAGTGCCTAGAGAGACGCTAACACAAGCAGTCTCCTCCTCTATTTTGCGGCCTCCCTCCAGCCGCCAGAGCTGCATAGGACCTCCCCAGACCTACGCTATTGTCCTCCTCCTCAAGTCCCCACTCAATCTGACTGTAGGGTACCTCGTCTGTACCACCTTCGTCTAAGGTGAGGATCATATGATCCTTGGCCCTAACTTGGCCAGAGATGGTACGACCCTTCCACTTTTTGCCCTTGTCTAAGTCCTTGTGCCAGAAAGTGGAAACTGGCATGGACTTAGCTTCGAACAAGACCACTTCCCTACTCAGCGCATCATATGTGATGTTGGGATGTTGGGTCTTGTTAAAGAAGTGCCCTCGCAAGGGCTCAGGCATGGCACGATAAAAACAGCTGGACCAACTGGGTCTTAGTGACCCCATGGTCCGGGACGGCTACCAAGTCGTCCATGACACCTTTGAGTGCTCTCGCACTCCTCAATTGCCGCAAGTGGATGGTTTGGAGCTTGTTAGAGGCCCTGACGCCTCTCGTGACGTCAGCAAACCTCTCGCGCAGGAGTTTGAGAAAAGTGGAGAGAGGGGTGAGTCTAGAATACGCAATCATGTTATGCCCACAATCGGCAGCGCGCGTGAGGGACCTGGCGAAGCTGGCCGCTTCGTCCTTCAATGCATGGAAGGCGACGAGGACTTGCTCCTCGGGGGCAATATGTTGCAAATACACATAAGTATTGACACTGGCTTCCCAGTTGTCAAAACTTTCGTCCTTCTTCCAGTTATAAGAATTAGGAAACTTGAGTTGTACAGGCTCTTTGCGGGGACGCGACTCGGCCTCTGCTGTGGCCACTACCTTTGCACCCTCAATGGCGCCGGCACAAAACTTCTCTGCGCCTTCCTTTAGCTTCTTGAGTTCGGCCCCGACGTGGGTCACCACGTCGCGCGCAAACTCTCTAAACCCAGACCGGATGGCATGCAGGGTCACATTGTGACCCTTGTTGGCCTGATGCTCCTCAAGCCAGACCTCACTCAGGATCTCCAGGTATCCTATAATCTTATCTAATTTCGCGGGGGCCTCTGCTTGTGCCTGCATCTCTGGTCTGCATGCCCGGACTCGTTCCACCTCTCTAGCCACTCGGTTGGCTTCCTCCCTCCTTCTCTTCTTCTCCCTCATTCGTAACTTCCAACCCAATTTTTTCTCATCCTCCGTGGTCTGACATTCCAGGGGGTCTTCTATCATTTCTAATGCCCTGGCAAATGCCTCTCTCTCCTCCTGCGGTACATACAACTGTGCCTCCTCATCCTCTCCCAACTATAAGTTAGCCACCCACTCGCTGATTTTTTTCTCCATCCACTCGTCTTCTCCCTTCATGCCACTTGCCACTCCTCTTTCTTACCCTCGCCTCCTTTCAAGGGGTTCTTCCTCTACCTCCTCCTCTTCTTCTGCCGCTACTTCTTCCTCGGCAGCCTTTCTCTTCTCTTCTTCCTCCTGCTCTAACATTATCATCTTCTCCTTCTTGAATCTCAACATCTCCTCTTCTAACTTCTTCTTCGCTGTCTGCTCCTCTGCTATAGGCTTTAGCTTCGCCTGCTTGAGGAGCTCTTTCTTCTCTTTTCTCTCTCTCAGGATGGCGGCGATCCGGGCCTACTCGGCCTCGGATTGGGGGACAGTACTCTTCCCACTACGAAAGTCAACCGTGGTGATAGGTGCACAACCAGACAATGGTTCCACTTCTCACCACTTAGACGCTACTCCCCCTGACTGACAAAACTACTGACTCAATCTAGGGACTTAAAGAATCCAGACAGGATCCTATCAACTAGGATCTCTAGCCTAGACCTATTCTAAGGCTGTCACTACAAGACCTGTTGCTGATCAGGAGGCATTTAAGGAGATCCCCCGTAACTCCTCAGGAATTATTTAACGTCGCAAACAGGACGACGTGATCAGCAGGTCTTCTCAAGACTTAGAAGACCTGTTGTGCAGCCCACAACTCGGATTTTGGGCCTACCGTGCCACACCGAGCAGTCCGCCGGTCAGTACCGGTGCTTGGGAGGGTTTGTGTCCTCCGGTACAGTCGAGTCGTCAGGCACAGTCTTTAGCCCTACTCAGCCCGTGTGCGTTTGGTCAACAAGGCCCTATCCTTCATCCACAGAGTTCCTAACACCTGGACAGAAGAGACAGACAAACTTGACTCAGCAAGTACCATAGGGTGTGTGCACATCCATAGGGCAAGGGGATAGGCTGAAGGCTTGGCGAGATTATACTGGCTCCAGCTTGGTCAAAATCGTGCTCAACGGCCTTGGTCAACGCCGGGTCAACGCTGCAGTCAACCTCCGGTCAACTCCCGGTCAATGCCTGTCAACCCTGATCAACACTCGGTCAACGCCCGGTCATCTATGGCTGCCGGCTTCTGCTTCCTCAGCACTCTTCTCCTTCTTTCTCTCCACCTCGCCTCTTTCTTCTTCACCCCGTCTGTCTTCTCTTTTTTTTTTTTTTCGTCTCTCCCTTCACCTCCTCGGGGCTTCCTTCACTCTGCTCGGTCTCCCCCTCTGTCCTCTCTTTCACCCTTCTTCGTTACCCTGTGGTCGAGCTTCGCGGCTATGGCCGCCTCCTTCTTCCTCGTGGGACTGCACGGCACACTTCAAAGGTACGTGACAACCAAACTTGTATCGCTCATCTCTCTCTCTCTCTCTCTCTCTCTCTCTCTCTCTCTCTCTCTCTCT